GATCTGTCCGTTTTTCCTTGCACACGGTTGAGAACCCAATTAACCCCTGTCGATTACCAACTTCATGCCGCGAATGGTACCATCATCCAGACCTTTGGTACAAAAACGTTATCTTTAAACCTTGGCCTCAGACGCGACTTGACATGGAACTTTGTCGTTGCGGAGGTAACTAAGCCAATCATTGGGGCCGACTTTTTGAGCCATTTTGACTTACTTGTCGACCTCAAAAGAAAATGTTTGCGCGGCGGACTTACTGGGCTTACATCTCCGGCATTTCTCGCCATCGCAAATGGAGCTTCATCAGTTAAGGCTATCGAAGGTGACACAGTTTACTACAGATTACTTCGCAGGTTCCCTGAAATATCCAAGCCAGATGGAGTTACCATACTAAAGAAGCACGCAACGCAACACCACATTCAAACCACGAACGGACCTCCGTTGGTAACTAAGGCACGCCGACTCGCTCCAGATAAGTTACGCATTGCGAACGTACTGGCGAATGGCGACCGTGCGGAGACTACCGCAGTCTAAACGCTAATATCAAATCCTTGCGCGGATTCCTCGGAACATTAATTTTCTATAGAAAATTTATTAAGAACGCCGCTGAGGTTCTAGCACCGCTTAACAAATTATTGGAAGGCTCCGATGTCAAAGGCTGCCAGAAGATTGACTGGACTGAAGAACGACAAACTGCGTTCCAAGAAGCTAAAAAGTCCCTCGCCAAAGCCACATTACTAGCACATCCAAGTACTGAAGCACAGTGGGCTATATTCACAGATGCGTCAGACTACGGAGCAGGAGCAGTTCTGCAGCAGCATGTTGGGAACAACTGGCAGCCATTAGCGTTTTTCAGCAGGAAGTTCCCGCCCTCTATTCAAAAGTTGTCGACTTACGACCGCGAGTTGCATGCTGTCTACGAAGCGATCAAGCATGTTCGCCATATTTTCGAAGGTCGTCACGTGATCATCTACACAGATCACAAACCTTTGCTGCATGCATTCCAACAACGCCCAGAACGAGCTTCGCCCTGGCAATTTCGTCGACTGGACTTCATAGGCCAGTTATCGTCCGACATCAGACACGTATCAGGACGTGACAATATCGTGGCCGACACGCTTTCACGCGTAGAAGCTATCTCAGCCACCGTTTCAGCGCAGCAGCTTGCCACCGCACAGCAAGACGACAGCGAACTTCAGCAGCTTATCAACAATTCCAGCACGACGTTGAATCTGCAGAAAATCCATATTGTTGTAAGTGAGCCCTCACTATACTGCGATATCTCAGCTGGTGCCATCAGGCCGTACGTGCCTCCTTCATTGAGGAAACGGGTCTTTGACTCACTTCACTCTCTTGCACATCCGGGCATCAAAGCGTCTCAGAAATTAGTCAGCCAACGCTACGTGTGGCCTTCAATAAACAAAGATTGTCGCGGGTGGGCTAAATCATGCATCGACTGCCAGCGCAATAAGATACAGCGTCATATCTCTTCGCCGATAGCAAATTTTCAACCTCCATCACAACGATTTGAACACATACACGTTGATTTAGTGTCTCTGCCATCATCACGAGGTTTCAATCAGTGCCTAACAGTAATGGATCGTTTCACAAGATTCCCGGAAGCAATACCACTGGAAAACGGAACCGCAGAAACAGTGGCTCGTGAACTCATTCGACACTGGATCGCGAGATATGGTGTCTCGAAAAGGATCACTTCCGATCAAGGCCGCCAGTTTGAGTCAAGACTATTCCAAACTCTTTCCAAGGTTCTTGGCATTAGACATCTGAGAACGACACCGTACCACCCACAATCAAACGGCCTTGTGGAGCGGCTTCATCGTCAGCTTAAATCGGCACTATTGTGCCACAATGAAACATGGTACGATGCCTTACCAGCCGTTCTACTTGGCCTTCGTGCGGCCTGGAAAGAGGACATCGCCACAACGCCTGCCGAACTTGTTTACGGTGAACCAATCCGCTTACCTGGTGAGTTTATCGCTCCTTCTAATTCACAGGTTACAGCCAGCGATCTTATACGTTCTTTGAAAGACCATTTTAAAAATTTGGCTCCAAAGGAAATGTCTCGACACGGCAAGCGGTCTGTTTTTTATTTTAAGGACCTCAACACCTGCTCTCACGTCTTAGTTCGAAACGACCATATTGAGATATCATTCTCGCCACCGTACGAGGGCCCATTCCCAGTTATCTCACGTAATGACAAATACTTCATCGTGGACTATAAAGGAAAGCATAATGCAGTCTCAGTCGACAGATTAAAGCCGGTCTATATTGCAGATGATAGCCTACATGTTCAAGAACCATCCGCTTCCATATCGTCAACGGCTTCACCCAATCTAGCAGTCTCATTTTACAATTAAAGTTTTTTTGCAAACCTAATTGTATTTTTTCCTTTAAATATCTTTCTCATTTTTCAAAACATATTGTAATCTAATCATATTTTCTACTGATATTATTGTAATACGCATAATTTTCTTTTCTCAAACAAGGGGAGTGTGTAGCGACTTGCGCCTCTACAAATAGTTACTCATACTCAGAGATTGGTTTTGAAGTAGAGTACCAGCCTAATGAATTAAGGGCAGTGCGGCCCATCATCATCTATTCAGCACTATGACATTTGACGATTCATCAACTTCGCCGCTCAGCTTTCTAATCTCTCGATTGGTTCTCTTTCTTCTTTGGCGGACCAGCACAGACGACGGACGTTTCATCAGCTGCACTCTCCCCGGCTAAAATAAGTATTTTACCCGATTTAATTGAGCTGTGATTTTGTGATTTTAAATAAATTATTAAATAACGTAGCGGGTCTTGTTTTCTCGCTATCGAATGCAAGTCAACCGCTACATATACCTTTGACATGCGGAAGCTCTTCTTCTCCGGCAACACAGAAAGGAGAATTCTACTTAGTAAGGGTTATAATCCCTAAGCGCGTCCGAAGGCAGAAGCAAGTGCAACAGGTGGTGGACCTAACAAAGTACATGTCTTCAATGGCTTGGAAGAAGCTGTTATTGCATTACCTGGATTGAGAACCAGTTCTTCAAGCATAGGAGTAGTTCTGGCTTGTGGTTCAACAATTCAATTAGAAACTGACGTAGACGCGCACATGGTTACTATGCCCGACAGCTCCGCGTATCTTTGTGAAATCATTCCCATAGCGCGCTCTTACTCCGCTGCTATAATTGCGAATGCAATAGAATCCACCGTTTCCTTCAAAATATGTAAAATGAAACAGTTTTACTATAAATAAGCGCTTCATGAGTTTTTTTTAATTCCTTTCCTCTTTGTTTTCCTTTATTCAGCTATCTTCGAAAAACAACTGATAACTGGCAATGCTGCACATGTTTCCGCAAGGGTTGCAGCATGTGGATTTTTCGTTTTTCGTAGCGTATCTACGAATTACGAATTACGAAAATTCTGGTTCTAGAATAAGGGGGTAACTCGCTAAATGGGAAAAAATATATTTACGAGATAATATCTATTTAAATAAATATACATATAACATAAGGGCTATTTATTTGAAGCATGTTAAAAGAAACAATGGCGGAGTGTCTGTTTGTGTATGAACTCATTTATGACGGCTAACAAACTTTGCGGCCAAATTATCAGTGAATCAAAACAAGCAGAACGGATAATTGAACCAGATCTCTATCAGGATCATATCGTTGTTGTTGAATTTGCGTGAAAAATGTTTATGCGGATCCCGATTATTGCCCAAAGAAACATAGCTAGAGCTGCGACAGAGTTGCATTGGCTTCAGTTTATCAAGTTTATTCAGTGAAATCTCCGGAGAGATTTATCAGAAATGTGTAAACGGGTTTCCATACAAATTTTGACAGTTCATTTATAAGGTATACACAACTATAAGTTTATACGGTTTACAATGCATTTATAAGGTTGGATGAGTACCCTTAATATTTTTATTAATGTAAGAGGAAACGCCGGAAAACAATGTATTGGCAACGACATAAAATGTATGGCAATTTAGATGTCAACAGAATAATAACTACAATAAAAAAGCATAAGGATGAAATCTATTCAATTCACAGTATAGACAGTAGCCAACCTTTTTGGGTTGTTGTTGTACTAATCGTTGTTGTTGTAGCTATATCGTGATTTTATTAAAAGAAAATTATAAATGGTGTTGAAAACCCAAACAAACGCTCGTGAGAAAGCTCTATTTTTGTATGTTGTTAAAGTTTATACATGGCGATATTGATGGTAATACAAGCAATGTATTCATTTGGGGATTTGATGTAACTTGAGAATTTAGGCAACGTGCGAGCTGCCAGGTTCTGTTAGCAATATAATTAACACAAGCTTTCCGCGTCGTTGCCTTTCAATAAATAGAATTAACAAATATTCGCAAATAAATTTTATTTATTTTATAACTGACACCTAACGTACGCTTTTTGTTCTTTTCCAGACCCCATTTTGATTTTGACTCTTTATTACCGCCAACTTTAACGGCCGGTTGCTCAAAGCCTGGTTGCCACTAATACCCGGTTAAACATCGTTATCGACGTTACCGACACCGTGTTATATACATGGATACGAAAACGTCGATAACGATGTTAACCGATGATTAGTGTCAACCAGGCTTTGAGCAACCGGCCCTAAGTGTATACATATTTGCAAGCTGTCAAAATGTTGCGTGGTTCCACGAGCTAGGTAAAAATTATGGCGTTCGTATTCACCACAAGAAATCTCAAAATGTTTGTTTGATCTTTCCAAATTTTCAATTTTTAATCAGTTGGCAAGGCGCTCAGTGGCGGCGTTCCGAGCACTGAGATAGTAATTTTATGTCAACTAGTAGAAAAGTTCCATGGTGTAATTCTTGCTGTAACATTTTTCACCAGCGGGTTGAAAATTTTCATTTACCTCATAGTTGTCAAAAATTTGCAATCCGGAGTACTTTTCTATCAATTGGCACAGGTAGGGATAAATCGATACCATCAAGGTATTACTCCAATCAGGGGCCGAATCACGGCTCTCGTGATCGAGTAATATTTTTCGAAATTTTCTGTTTTGGCATCACCGCATTCGTGATCGAGTAAAATTTATCGAAATTTGGCATCACCCCATTCGATATCGAGCAGACGTTCGAGTAGAATTATTCAAAACACCATTCGACAGTAAATTTTGCATCGAGAAGTGGAAAATTAAAATAAAACAACAAAATGTGAGTATATTTCTAGTAAAAACTGTTGCAAACTTTAATATCTTTTTATATTTAAGGACAAACATAAACAAAATCAACAAAAAAAAAGTATTATGGCGGAATATATGCAGGAGCACCCGGATTTGGCCAGAAATATTCTGCCAAATTGCGTTCAAAGAAGAACCGTTGCTCAAAGATTGTGGGAGCAACTTTCCTTAAAATTAAATTCTGCTGGTCCGCCTATAAAAGAACTTGAAATGTGGCGTAAAGTAGGTTGTTTTGAATTTATATAATCAGAAGCTAGTGTATTATTTGGCTTAAAATTGTAGGTATTTGCAGACCAAAGGCAGAACGTTAAAAAGAAGCTGTCTTTTAATAAAGCTTCTAAGCAAAAGACCGGAGGTGGGCCTTACCAAGAAAAGCTTTTGACGGCGTCCGAGGAGCTGCTGCTGCAAGCTACTGCAATGGACGTTTCAGTGGAGTACGTGCTGAAAACTTTCACTTCCCAAAAGCGATAACGTAGCAGCTAATTGCAAGACGGAGGGTACTGATGTGGACATATGCCCCTCAAACTCAAGCTCCGAAAGCACGTACTCGAATGCAGGTTTTGACAGTCGGAAACGTTTTTTGAACCTGCAAATAAAGAACTTTAACGTATGCTGCTGCTGGTAAACTTAAGGGATTGCTTTTGTCACGTAATCCTCTCCGTATCTGCACTTGACTGACTACATTATCAGAATCAGGCGAGCTCGAATAAAAAAATACTGAAATATTCATTTTATAATAACTGATATGAATATTTTATTTCTTGTTTACGTCTGAAAAATGGTTAAAGATGATACATTTACTAATTGGCAACCGATTAATAATCGAAGAAATTTCGCTAGCTTACGAATCGAGTGCCATGATTTGCCTATTCGATTCGAATCGAAATTTTACTCTCCTCGACCGGTCACTCGTTCACGAGAGCCGTGATTCGGTCCCAGTACTTGTACGTGTATCAAACAAGGTATCGATTCCTACTCAGTATCAGAAAGGGATCGAGTACTTGTACATAGGACTACGATTTTGCAGATTTTTCAAAGTTATTGAATTTTTTTTACAATGCATTTTTACAAGATTATTTATCTTCTAACATTTTTCCATACAAAAACAATAGAATACATTTTTAAAAGATTAATAGATAAAGTTTTTTCATATAAAATAAGTTTAAGAAAATAACTCCATTTTTGTTATATTTCCCCAGAAAAAATCAACAGTTCCAAGTGTTATCCTGAAAGGCGGTTTCGAGACTTTGATAAACGACTCCATTTACCAAATATTTTTTTATTATATCTGATGAAAAGAGTGAATATTCTAATTGAAACCCGTAAAAGAAGCAGCAGCGATATGAAATAAATCATTTTAATGCGAGATTTGTAAATTTTTGGGTTAAAAACCATCGAAAAAATTATCGAAATCGGGTCGATATCAAATTTTAGAACATGCCTGATAGTTGTACCTGTTTTTGAGAAAAGCCTCTAGCAAGGAACAGATGACCCAACAACCGTTATGTATAGACGGGCTTGCTTATATAGCTGTGGAAATGTAGTGCGCTTATCTTCCCATTCCTCTAATGGGTTGCTTTTTCAAAGATGCTGAAGCATAATAAGTTTTGTGCTTCCGATACAAGTACTTTTTTTCGATACCTACTTGGATCGCGGTAAAAAGTATCGAGTAAAAAACTACTTGGTAAATTGAGAAAAGTATCGAGTATGTACTTGGATTTACTTGTATCGATTTATCCCTAGGCACAGGCCTTTTGCATAAATAAGGTTATGAAATGCGTTTTATTTAAATCGTTTAAAAAATTAGTCATTTATGTATACCATTTTATGTGGAATTATTCAATAAATTTCGTTTTACACTGTACATTTTGAAACTGGAGTTATTTTTTTTCTCAAAAGCAACCCTGCGTGCTTAGTAAGCGCGTGTACCAATAAAGGCCCGTCCACATAGAACTTTGGCGTTGCGTTGGCGTTGGCGTCGCTTCAACAGCTGACTATGAATACATGAATTCAAATGCAGCCGTCCACATAGCCAAAATTCGACAACGCTCACGCCAACACAAAGCAAAAAGATGGCCAACTCTCATCTTTTCGCGTGCGTCGCTCGTCAGCTGTTGCAAATAAATAAAATTATGTGAAATATTTTCCTTTTTAATCAAGTGCGGGCAAGAAATATCGTTTTTAATGCAATTATTGATATGAAATATTAATTTATCTGTCGTTAGTATGTTAATGTAGTGGCCCAAGCATTCGCTGCCAAGCGCTCATTGTAGCAAGCATACTTTTAACGTGCGTTCTGTCAAACCAACGCCAACGCCAAAGCCAACACGAAAGTTCTATGTGGACCGGCCTTAATTTCATCCGTGGCATATTCATCCCCGAGGAAGGCAGTCGCCAAATTCACCCAAGGCTGTTCACTGTTTATATTGTGTTTCATTTTGAAGAAAAAAAGCTTTAAATGCCGTTGTGAAACGGTCAACAAATTTCTTATAAAATATTTTGATTTTTGCTGGGTGTAATGGAAACTCAGTGAAATGAGTATTAAAATAATGAACAGAAAAAGAGATGGGTGCTCAAAAAGTTAAGTTAAAATAGTTGCGTTCCCTAACTCGCAAGTTGCAAGAATTTACAGGAATTTGCCAGAAAGCGTTCCCGTACTCGGCTCCCTGGCTTCTATTGCCTTTTAACAGTTTCACAGGTTTTAGCCCAGAAAAGTTGGGGAACGCAACTAATGTTATAAAAAGTAAACAAATCGATTTTTTTTTTAATGTTACTGTATAGGGCTCGTTTTGGTTCGACATTCTGCTATTTCATAATTCTTTTGTAACGGCTGTTAAATACTTTGTTAATTCTAATTTTTAAAAGAGAACAAGCAGGTTTCGAAAGGTACTGCCAAGAAAATGTAAAATATTTTTCCAGAATAAAAAGAAACTTTAAACCATCGTATAGGCTTACAAGTATGGAAAGCGCCATTTTGTTTGTTTACATTTGAAAACAGCTGAGATCACCTGATTTTCAATTCTCTCATTCTCCGCACAGAGTTACATTCAAGTTTCAGAAAAAACTTTAAAATGTAAATTGAGAAATATTTTAGAAAAATGTGTTTTTATTCATTTGAATTCAATAAAAAAGAAATTAAAAATGCGTGCCAAGTCTTGCATTTCCAATAATAACGATAAATGTGTATGTTCCAGGCAATAATTTAAAATATTTGTGAAACTTATCGTTTTGCGCTAAAATACAACAATGTGTGTAAAATTCGTTGTCATTGCTTCTGTTTTGAATATCATATTCGTGCCTGCCGGTGGAAAAAATAGGTAAATTTGCATTTATTTTCAAGAAAACATATCAGTTAAAATATATTTCTTTCCAGAGCGACATACGGACAAGTAAGATGATAAATTTGTATGATGAATATCGCGGAAAAACTTTTGTATCAAAATTTCTATTCTAATTTGCATTTGAATTATGATATCAACAGGGATGATTTGGGACGTATTTTTTGAAGACAATTTTCTTATAAATCTTGAGATTGTTGATTTATTTTAGAATTAAAAAAGGTAGTTTATATTAAAAAATATATTTACACTAGCAGTATGTAAATTACTTTTATTACGAATTGAAACGATTTTAATGAATATTCATGGTTACCATTAATAGTAGTATGACAGTTAGATCTAAATGCATATTTGACAAGAAAGATAGAATACAAGATTGCGCCGTCCTGGCGGCGATGACATATCTGTACAAAAAGTAATAAAAGTCGAATTGGATGTTGAAAGAAAATGTGAGAACAGCAAATTTTCTTAATAATAAATTTTTCGATAAGGAACGTGTTTTGATTGTGCTAATTTGTAATAGCCTTATTCATAAACAATAAAGTAGCTTAAAAAAGGCTTATAAATTGAAAAATGTTTGTAAACGGCAATTTAAAAAGCTTTTTAAAATTTTTATTTTTTATTAATAAGGCAATAAAAATATGTGATTTACAATAACTTTTAACAAAGGAAATACGAAATAAGGTGATTTTTGCGGAAGTGGGTATTAGTGAATTTCAGTGCATTTAAAGTTTCTGAGGTTTCGTTTACCTTTAGATCAGAATTGTCAAAATTGAGAAATTCAAAGTAGCGATACAATAATCATAGAAAAGAAGATTGCGCCCTGCTGTGATGATGAGTAAATTTACCACAATGAGGAAGAATATAACAATTAAGTGAAAAAATTTTATTTTTACAAATTTAGTGAGCAGTAACGCGTTTCAAGAACGATATTTCAGACAAATCGTTAATGAACAACTATTTTTCCTTCCCGTCTGCTTTGGTTTTGGCAAAAAAGTTGATAAGCTCCTGACGGCGATCAAGTCATTTCAACCATAAAATAATATTATTTGCAAGAACCATTCACTAAAATTTTAACTAACTTTTTATTATTTATTAATTCCTTTTTGATATTCAGCAATAACAAGATGGAAAAAAAATATAAACCAAAATTAGTAATATTTTTATGAATGTAGCTATAAAAGTTCACAGAGGAAACGCCGGAAAACAATGTATTGGCAACAACATAAAATTTATGGCAATTTAGATGTCAACAGAATAATAACTACGATAAAAAAGCATGAAAGAAGTGTGCGAGAAACGGTCAACAAATTTCTTATAAAATATTTTGATTTTTGCTGGGTGTAAATGAAAACTCAATGAGTATTAAGGAAAAGAAAAATTTGAAAATAATAAACAGAAAAAGAGATGGGTGCACAAAAACTTTAGTTAAATGTTTTTCCCAAATTCTTAAAAAGTAAGCAAATCGATTTTTTTAATGTTACTTTACATCTATTTTCTTTTTTATGAATAAGGTCATAAGCATGTACCGTTTTTATAAATAAATCTTATAGCAATATGCTATATATTTATTTATATACTTTTTGGCTGGCGAAATATGTAATTTTTCAACTTAATAGAAAAGCGTATTTAACTACATTACTTTTTTTTAATATTGAATGGCGCACCACAACAACTCTTTTTGTTGCACGAACCCCTTGAACACGTGGCTGTCATCTATTTCTTCTGTTTCGACATTTCGGTATTTTGCATTTCTTTCATTTTGACGTCATTCGCATTGTCAGATTTTTGAAATTCGTTTTGGTTCGACATTCTGCTATTTCATAATTCTTTCATTCTCATGTCATCCATCTTCCATTTCTTACCTTCCATTGCCGTTCGCATCGTCGAACGTGCCTGTCAAACACTGCCGCCATCATGCTTTTCAGTTTGGCAGGCACGTCCGCTGTTTGGCAGGCACGTCCGCTGTTAGAAAGAGAATAGACAAAAAGGGGCATAGGATTCCATACTTGTAAGTATATACGGTGCTTTAAACAATCAATATTAAAAATTTCAAGAAAATTTTCTTTCTTAATAATTAATAATTTGTGACCCCGGCATAGGACAACCTCCTTCGAGAATTTAAATTTCAAGAAATATTTGCGGAGATTTTTGAACAACTCCCAACCTTGAAACCGTGAATCAAGAAAAAACTCACATCTGTAAGCGGATTTGTTTAATATTTGGAAATCGGATCACTGAAAATAGTTCGTCCTGGCTACAAGGCAATGCAACATCAAACCATTAAAAGGAACTAAAAGCTATTGGAAAGGCATTTAACATTGGCATCAATTCCAATTGAAACCCCAAAGCGACATCCAAGTTCACAGGCGACATCCAAGTTCACAAGCGGCATCCAGATGCTAAAGGGAT